AATAAATGACAATTGTTGGATATTGGGGGAGAAAGCTAACCTATCTTCCTTTTAAGAAAGAGAACAAAGAATAGTGCGAAAACCAAAGTGACATAAAAATTTTAAAAATTAATATTCTCAGGGCACCTGGGTGGCTCAGTTGGTTAAGTGTCCAACTCTTGGTTTCAGCTCAGGGTCATGAGGTCAAGCCCTGTGATGGGCTCTTCGCTCAGTGGGGAGTCTGCTTGAGATTCTTTCTCCCTCTTCCTCTGCCCCTTCCCCTGCTCACATACTCTGTTTCTCTAAAATAAATAAAATCTTTAAAAAAATTAATATTCTGTATGAAATCTGAATATGAGCCTTCAAAAAATTTCAAAAACCTGAAGTGAAAAATACAACATGAAAAGACTCCCTTGACTTTACTTTTTTTTTTTTTAAAAAAAAATAAAAGATGGGAACCCTGGAGAACTGCCCTTTTAACTTCAATAGGGATGATTCCCTTTTAAGTTTTCATATCCAGCTTTGATCTGTCATATGATCTCTAACTTCCTGCCTGTCACTCTTATTTGGATTACCTAATGTCACTTCCAACTAAACACAGCCCAAACTGCCCTCTCTGTTAAACAATCACCTTTTTATCAGTGCTTCTCCTATTCTTTTAAATGTTTAAAAATCATTCTTTTATAAATTATGTACCATTTTCAAGTTGTTCAAGGTAGGAGAGCAAATTCAGCTCCTGTTATTTTACCGTAGCCAAAAGCAGAAGCATCCAAATGACATGTGAATTAGAAGCAGCATGATAATATAAAAACATAGACTTTGGAGTCAGAACTGTCTGGGTTCAAATTCCAGTATTATCATGTTTAAAAAGCTTAAAACTAACAGTGAGATACCACTTCACACCTATTTGGAAGGTTATTATAAAAAAACCCAAAAAACCAAAAAACAGAAAATAACAAGTGTTGGTGAGGATGTGGAGAAGTTAGGACCCTTGTGAACTTCTGGTAAGAATGTAAAATGATGTAGCCACTACGGAAAACAGTATGGAATTCCCCAAAAAATTAAACATAGAATTACCATATGATCCAGTAATTCCAATTCTGGGTATATACAAAAAAGACATGAAAGCTGAGACTTGAACAAATATTTGTACAGCAATATTCATAGCAGAATCACTCACAACAGCCAAAAGGTGGAAGCAACCCAAGCATCCACTGACGGATGAACAAAGAATATGTGGTACACACATGCAATAGAATATTAAGGTCTTTAAAAAAGGGGGGGGGTATTACTCAGCCTGAGAAAGAAAGGAAATCCTGACACATGCTACATCATGGCTGAACCTTAAAGATATGATGCTCTTTGTGAAATAAAGTGAAATAAGCCAGGCACAAAAGAACAAATACAGTATGACTTCATGTATTTGAGGTACCAAGAGCAGTCAGAGCATGGACACGGAAAGTAGAACACTGGCTGCCAAGGGCCTGGCAGAGGGAGGAATGGGGATTAGTATTTAATGGGTATAGTTTCATTTGAGAAGATGCGAGAAGTGCTACAGAGAGACAGTGTTGATGGCTGCACGACAATGTATGCATTTAATGTCACCAAACTGAACACTTATACATGGTTAAAATGATAAATTTTGTGTACATTTTGCCACAATAAAAAATAAATAAAAGTTTAATCCCCCTGTTCCACAACTACCAATTCTACCCTGGCTTTGCTCCTTACTGACTGCCTGTGTCACCTTGGACTGGATATTTAAACTCTCCAAGATCCCAGAGAAGTTTGAGAATCCTGCACAAAATAGGCACCTAAACACAAATTTATTTGCTGCCTCCAAACCATCCTAAAAGCTTAATCACTACAAGTATTTTAAAAAGCCCAAGGCAGGTGAACAAGTAATTATAAACCTAATATAATAGTAACTTTTGTCTATTGTCAACACCTCAATAAAAGGTTGGGGAAACTGACAGCTACAAACAAAACAATGAAACTAGATCACCTTCTTATACCATATAGAAAAATAAACTCAAAACGGATTAAAGGCTTAACTGTAAGACCTGTAACCATAAAATTCCCAGAAAAAAACATAGGTGGTAAGCTCTTTGACACTGATCTTAGCAATATTATTTTGGATCTGTCTCCTCAGGCAAGGAAAACAAAAGCAAAAATAAACAATTGGGACTACAACAAACTAAAAAGCTTTTGCACAGCAAAATGAAAGAGCAACCTACTAAATGGGAGGAGATATTTGCAAATGGTATACCCAATAAGGGGTAACATCTAAAATATGTGAAGAATTCATAAAATCCAATATAAAAAAAATATTAAAAAAATCCCAAACAATCCACTTAAATTTAAGTGAGCAGACAACCTGAATAGAAATTTCTCTAAAAAAGACATACAGGGGCGCCTTGGTGGCTCAAAGTTAAGTGTCTGCCTTTGGCTTAGGTCATGATCCCAGGGTCCTGGGATCAAGCCCCACATCGGGTTCCCTGCTCAGTGGGGAGCTTGCTTCTCTCTCTCCCTCTGCCCCTCTCCCTCCGTCCCTCACCCCTGCTTCTCCCTCTCCCTCTGTCCCTCACCCCTGCTTGTGCACTCTCTCTCTCTTGCTAGCTCTCAAATAAATAAAGAAAATCTTAAAAAAAAAGACAGGGGTGCCTGGGTGGCTCAGTTGTTAAGTGTCTGCCTTCAGCTCAGGTCATGATCCTGGGGTCCTGGGATCAAGCCCCACATTGGGCTCCCTGCTCAGTGGGGAGCTTGCTTCTCCCTCTCCCTCTGCCCCTCCCCCCTGCTTGTGCTCTCTCTCTCTCTGTGTCAAATGGATAAATAAAATCTTTTAAAAAAAATAAAAAATAAAAAGGACATATAGAGGGTGCCTGGGTGGCTCAGTCGGTTAAGCATCTGCCTTCGGCTCAGGTCATGATCCCAGGGTTCTGGGATGAAGTCCTGGATCAGGGTCCCTGCTCTGCAGGAAGTCTGCTTCTCTCTCTCTCTCTGTCCCTCACCCCTGCTTGTGTGCTCGCTCTCTCTCTAGCTCTCAAATAAATAAAATCTTAAAAAAAAAAAAAAAAGATATGGGGTGCCTGGGTGGCTCAGTCGATACTAAGTATCTGTCTTCGGCTCAGGTCATGATCCCGGGGTCCTGGGATCAAGCCCCACATTGGGCTCCCTGCTCAGTGGGGAGTCTGCTTCTCCCTCTCCCACTCCCCCTGCTTGTGTTCCTTCTCTTGCTGTGTCTCTGTCAAATAAATAAATAAATAAATAAATAAATAAATAAAATCTTTAAGTAAGTAAATAAATAAATACAGACATACAGATGGCCAACAGGCACAGGAAAAGATCCTACTACCACTAATCATCAGGGAAATGCACATCAAAACCACAATGAAATATTACCTCACAGCTGTCAGAATCGCTAGAATCAGAATGACAAGAAATACACATACTGGCAAAAATGTGGAGAAATATTAAAAGCAGGAAAACAAAACTGGAAGTATCATAATTCCAGACTTCAAGATACATTATAAAGCTACAGTAACCAAAACAGTATGGTGCTGGCACAGATCCACAGGATCAATGGAACAGAACAGAAAACTCAGAAATCAATCCACAATTATATGGTCAATTAATCTTCAATGAAGGAGTAAAGAACATACATACAAAAGAAACTGGACCACTTTCTTACAGTCTCTACAAAAATAAATTCAAAATGGATTAAAGACTTAAATGTGAGACTTGAAACCATAGAAATCCTACAAGAGAGCACAGGCAGTAATTTCTCTGACATCAGCCATAGCAACATTTTTCTAGATGTCTCCTGAGGCAAGGGAAATAAAAGCAAAAATAAACCACTGGGACTACATCAAAACAAAAACCTTCTGCACAGCCAAGGAAACACTCAACAAAACTAAAAGCAACCTACTGAATGGGAGAAGATATTTACAAATGATATATCCAATAAAAGGTTGGTATCCAAAATATATAAAGAACTGATACAAAAAGTGTTGGCGGGGATGTGGAGAAAAAGGCACCCGCTTGCACTCTTGGTGGGAATGCAAACTGGTATGGCCACTGTGGAAAACAGCATGGAGGTTCCTCAGAAAATGAAAAACAGGACTACCCTATGATCCAGTAATCGCACTACTGGATTTTTACCCCCAAAATACAAAAACACTAATTCAAAGGGATATATGCACCCCTACATTTATTGCAGCATTATTTACAATAGCCAAATTATGGCAGCAGCCCAAGTGTCCATCGACAGATGACAGATGAATGGATAAAGAAGATGTGGTGTAGATATAGATAAACACACACACACACACACACACACACACACGGTATACTACTAAGCCATAAAAAGAAATCTTGCCCTTGGTGGCTTCCTGGATGAACTTAGAGGGTATTATGTTAACTGAAATAAGTCAGACAGAAAGACAAATACTGAATGACTTCATTTATGTGTGGAATCTAAAAAACAAAACCAACAAACAAAACAGAAACAGATTTATCAATATGGAGAACAAACTGGTGGTTATCAGAGAGGAGGGATGGAAGGATAAACAATATAGGTAAAGAGGATTAAGAGGTACAATCTTCCAGTTATAAAATAAGACAAAGGGATATAATGTCCAGCATAGGGAATACAATCAATAATACTATAATAATTTGGTATGGTGACAGATGGTAACTGGACTTATTGAAGTGACCATTTTGTAATATACATAAATATCAAGTCACTATGTTGTATACCTGAAACTAATACAATATTGCATGTCAATTATTCTTTAATTAAAAAAATATTAACTTCTGAGGCATCTGGAGGGTGCCATCTGGACAGATGTCAACTCCTCTCACCCTCTAAAAAGGAGAATTCATCAGACTTTAAATAACTGTAAATTCTTCTCTAAAAGGTTTCCCATCCATGTTTGTCCAGAAGTAATATCAGAATATAAAATTATCAGTCCCACTTTTGGTCTCTTAGGAGAGAGATGTGACACAGGATAAGCACTTACCTGTATTGCCACCCAGTGACAAGGTTGGTGTACTTCATTAGGTAGCCATATACATTTTCCATGTGATCACTGTTTCAAAAAGATCAGAATGCACCAAAAAGTCAATAAAAATTAGAACTATCAGGAAGTTAACTGAACAGTTTTAAAAATAGCTATAGATACACATGCGTTTTACAAATGCCTCAAACTTGCTTCAGAAGATTTATAGATTAACAAAGAGGTATTTAATCCAAATTTGATATCCATACGTCTTTATTTTACCAGATTTCTTCAGAATATAATCCCATGTAAATTATTATATTAATATTTCAAATAGGAAATCATTATATAAACATAAAATTATGCAAATATAAAACAAATATACTATAAATATAATTTTAAATAAAAATATTGTATAACAATTCAATACTAAAGAAATAAAATAGTTTTATGGTTCTAGAAAGCCAAAAAAGGTCTCTAAATTGAATAGTGCCTCCTCACTCTGGTGGGACACATAAAGAGGCCAATCTGTTCTGTCTCTGATTCTTGGGCTTCCAAAATGAAGGTCCTGTTTTTGACGAGAGTGTGACACCTCACTCCCGCTCCACATCAGACAGGTATGAGGCAAAACACTCTCTACAAGTTTTGCCATAGGAAAGATTTTGATTGAGGCCTTATTACAACTGAGTTTTACTTCCTGCCCCATTTTTTCACATATTACACATATATTCTGCTATAGTGGTTCTTGAAAATGCAGTCTCTCACTGATATTTCTTTTCCTAACATTTTAAGGTTCCTTATACTTATGAAAAGTAAAGTGAGACCTACATTGACATACCTTGTTGATACATTTTTTATTTCATAATTTACATTAGAATTCCTTTAAAACTCACCTAAAGTTTTAATTTTACACTATAAAATGCAATGGATATTCATCACTAATTTTCTTTACTATCCCTAAGTCACAGAGGATACTTGATAAAATTTCAGCTAACCAGCACAAAGGAAACTGAAAGTGTGAGGCGACCGGCAACCTTTAAAACATGGACATATTAAAGGCAAAAAGCAAGGAAGAGCTGGCACAACTAATAGAACAAAGTTCAAAACAGATTTAGCTTGATCTCAGTGACAGATAAAAAGAGCTGAAGATAAAGACTCTCTCAGGAAAACGAAATGACCAGGAAAACGAAATGACCAAATTGATTATAAGATTCTTGTAGCTATTACTGGGGAGTGAGAAGGGGGATGCCTCAGGAATAAACTCAATATTGAGTGTCTTTCTAATCTCATTTCTTCAAAGTGCTTGAAAATAAAGATCAAATCTAAAAATAAAGAATTGAGCCCATGACTATGTTATTTTTTTCTATATTTTTCTTTCATTCTAAGGCTAGCAAGCAATACTGTTTATTAAGTGAAACTACTCAAGTCCTTTGGGTTTCATAAGGTCACTACTCTCAAGAAGACAAAGGTTATCCACTTCTAAAATGCCAACCTTATATGTTATGTCATGTTAAAACTGACAGTAGCAGCTAAATTCTCATTTCAATACTTTCTAGAGCCCACATCTAGAAGAAAGGATTCTCTGGAAACCCAGCCCCTTGGGTTTTTGCTAGAGTTCCTCTAGTTACAGCCCCAGGTCACAGTAAAGCTATTTCTTTCAGTTCCACTGGTACTTAAAAAAAGCATGAAGATATTTTTATTGTCTGGCTCCCACATCTTTCCCAAGCTTCAGCTTAAACAGCTCTTAGGGGTCACAGGAATCCCAATGCTCATGGATTTTGCCCAAAAATAACTTCCCAGAGTTCTTCCTCTGTTTTAGGTATTTAACACTCAGCTCAGCTCCCCTCAACTGTTTTTGCCCTCAAAACATTCCTTCAATTATATGTGGACCCTAAAAATAAAAAAAGAATAATTTTTTAAAGAATTTTTTTATTTTTAAGTTATCTCTACACAAAATGTGGGGCTTGAACTCACAAGTGCTCCATTGCCTAAGTCAGCCAGGCACCCTAAAAATGATTTTCAAAAAAGATCTCATAGATATAGAGAACAGACTGATGGTTGCCAGGGGTCGAGTAGTAAGTAAAATGGATGAAAGTGGATAAAAGATACAAACTTCCAGTTATAAAATAAATAAGTCCTGGAGATATAATGTCCAGCACAGGAAGTATATTAAAAATACTATATTGCATATTTGAAAGCTGCTAAGAGAGCAGCTCTTAAAGGTTCTCATCACAAGAAAAATGAAAGTGTAATATGTATGGTGATAGATATTTACTAGACTTATTGTGGTCATCGTTTCACAATGTATACAAATATCAAATTAAGTTGTGTACCTGAAACTGATATAATGTTGTATGTCAATTATATCTTAATTTAAGAAAAAACTTATCTGTTCATTCTAACCTGTATTTTCCTAACTTATTTATTTATTTATACATACATACATATATACATATTCCTCATCCATCCACAAAAAGCCTAAGGTGCCACACAACCTAAATTAAATATTTCTTCGAAGTACCAAAACATTCCATAATTCACCATTTTTGGTTTTCTGAACCCTTATAATCTAGTTTCTCTACACCAAGCCTTCATAACCATACTATGACTATTAGCATAGGATAAAAATATTACAACTCAATTATAGTTCAATTCCTCTGGTTTTAAGACAATTATATATATACAGTTTTTAAAGATTTTATTTATTTGACAGAGAGACACAGCGAGAGCAGGAACACAAGCAGGGGGAGCGGGAGAGGGAGAAGCAGGCTTCCTGCCGAGCAGGGAGCCCAATGCGGGGCTTGATACCAGGACCCTGGGATCATGGCCTGAGCCAAAGGCAGAAGCTTTACCTGAGCCAAAGGCAGACGCTTTAACGACTGAGCCACCCAGGCACCCTGACAATTATATTCTTTAAATGCATATGTGAACTGTGGAAAGAATCTTTCTTAAAACCTCAGTACAACTGAAAAAAAAAACAACAATAAAAATTTCATTTCTAAGTAATTGAAGATAATGCCTCATCTCCTTTACTTTTGTCCAGTCTCTCATATTACTAAAGCTAATCCTCATTTTGGTCACATCTAAGTTATTTACATCAGTCATTTCAAAGCTATCAATGAATTTTTAACAGTACAATTCTGGTAGCATCATTCCTGAAATAAAATTAAAGTATATCCTTATACTTGTATCACAGTAATGTTTTATGTTCAATTTTTAAAATGTTAATATTTTATTGATGCTTGTATCTAAAGAGTTAACTTTCTCACAAAAATTACAAGGGTGATACTGACATGGCTATGATATTCAAATGTGCAATTAATTATAAACTGCAGGCCTGCTTTTACTTCATGAAACAGACATCTGAGGCTGCAAAGAATCAACTTAAGAATTAAGATCATCCTATTCTTTGAAACAGCTGGTTGGCCCGGTCCTGCTTTCTCTCATCCTTCCCTTCCTCGGTCAGTGCAAGCGGCAGATGTGAAACAACTGCGCCATCTGGTGGCCCTTATAAAGAGCTTTGTGAGTGAACACCTTTTGTTCACTCTTCCCTCCTTATAAATGACTCTTCATGTAGTACCTCTAACCCTTATGCTTTGCTCCCATTTAAAATGTGTGAATTTTGGAGAGGTAATATGGCTGAGGAGTAGGTCGACCCTAAGCTTGCCTCCTCCCTGGAACACACCTTGCTAAATATCAAATCACTCTGAACACCCAAGAAATCGACTGGAAGTCTTAGAGAACAAAGCTGCACATCTACAAACCAAAAAAATGACCCATGGAACATAGAAGCTGCAGAGTTTGTGGGAGAAAAGAGCCATGGGCACTGCCCAGGGGAGGGCGCCCTGACAGTGGAGGGAGCATAAAGAGAGGAGGAGGAGAGAGAAAGCACAGGGGGAAAAAAAAAGAGTAAAAACACATGCGGGGGGCTGAACAAGAAAACTAGTCCCCAAACCATGGATGGGGAGAAAGGAGAGGGTTACAATACTGCCAGTTTTCTATAAACAGTGAAGTGCAGATTTTGAAGTTTCTGAAGTCTGAGACATTGCCAGGTTTGTGCCTGGGGAACGGAGCGGTGCTTCAATGGGAGAGCAGGGCTGAGCCCCAGCAGCAGACAGCCTGAGGATCCCCAGGGTCACACAGGGAGAAGCAGTACCCCTGCTTGGTGTGCATTTGGTAGAGGTGACACCGCGTCTCCACGGGCAAAGGGCCCTGCAGGCGCCATCAAGCTGTCCCACTCACCAGTATAGGAACAAAGACTCCGACTGAGGGCTGCAAACCCGGCACCAGCTGCGTGTTGTGATCTACAATAAACTCCAAACTGCTGAGAAATGGCGCAGCTGTCTCCTGCGACAAGCTGGCACTGGTCACAATTCAGGGAGACCCTCCCCCAGAGGATCAGTGCGGGTCTGTGCCCCCGGGGGGGTCTCTGAAGTGCGGGATTTCGAAACACAACCACACCCGAGATAAAACACAGGAGTGCTGCACCGTTTGGCAGGAGGACAGCGACGACACAGGGTGAAGGCGGGGATGTGACAGAAACCAGTAACAGAGTCAGGGTCATCACTGGGCATCTGTGAGGGCTTACTTTAGAGAGGCGGCACACATTTCCTGCTCTGGAGAGAAGAGGTCAAAGCCATTCCCCCTCTCCCCTAGGTTGATCCATCTCAGTGAGATAAACAGCGCCACCAAGTGGAGAATGGAGCCACTACATCAAGCCCCGCTCCCCTTCACCCTGCAGGAGCATCTCCACTAGGGCAATTCCACCTGAGAATCAGGGCAGCAGGCCCTCCACCAGGGAACCAGCACAAACCCCCTCACACACCAAGTCTACTGACCACAGAGTGCTGCAAAGCTTCAGCACTAAGGGAAACAGGACCTAGCATCCTTTGGGCTTTGTTTCTTTTGTTTTTATCTGTTTTTGTTTTGTTTGTTTTTTAGATACAGAATGCAATTTTTAATGTTTTATAATTGTATTATTTTATATACATTTCTTTAATTTTTTTTCTTTTCTTTCTACCTTTTTTCTTTTTTTTAATTAATTAATTAGTTTATTTATTTTTAAAGATTTTATTTATTTATTTGACAGA